TTCTTTTCTTTTCTTTTCTTTTCTCTTCTCTTCTCTTCTCTTCTCTTCTCTTCTCTTCTCTTCTCTTCTCTTCTCTTCTCTTCTCTTCTCTTCTCTTCTCTTCTCTTCTCTTCTCTTCTCATCTTTCTCTTTTCTTTTTTTTTTTCCTTCTTTTCCTTTTTCTAGATTTTTCAGTGGGAATATATTATTTCCTTGATTGTACTGTTTAAAGCCCATAATTATTGTTGTAATGGTAAATGTAGAAGTAAAAATTTTGAATATATTAACTACAATTAATTATAATCTTAGTAAATAATCACTTTGTTTTATTAAAAAATAGCAATAATCTTTTGCATCTCAGGCCAAACTAAATCAGTTATGAAAAATACTAAATGAGTGTAGAATAAAAGCATAGATGTAATAAAAAGAGTTTTATTTTGCAAGATAAAAGTTTTTGTTTATATTTTGATGACAGTGGTTTTATTTGAAATTCAGCAACAGTAAAATCACTTAGGAATTTTAAAGTGATTCTTTATAGAGTTGTGTAAAAGTTTGAGTTTGAAATTTATCATGAATAGAGACCTGTGTCCAGTCAACAGAGCTGAGCAGCCACCGAAGCTGACTGACCATGGCCCTGTCAATTCTGTGGCAGTGCTGTGTGAGCTGGAGCTCGACCACAGCCCAGCTCCTACAGGCATTCATCTCTCCTGGAACCTCCTGCCCCACAGGTTGGATATAAGGGAAAACTTCTTCCCCCAGAGGGTGGTCAGCCACTGGAACAGGCTCCCCAGGGCAGTGGTCTTGGCCCCAAGACTGCCAGAGCACAAGGAGTGTTTGGACAACGCTCTCAGGCATATGGTGGGGTTGCTGGGCTGTCCTGTGCAAGGCCGGGAGTTGGACTGGATGATCCTTGTGGGTCCCTTCCAGCTCAGGATATTCTGTGATTCTAACTCTTTGGTTAACCCTTCCTCTCTCCATGAAGAGCTGGCAAAGCTGTTGGGGGTGGGGCAGAACAAGGGAAGCGCCAGCATTGTTGCTGCCTCTATGACACGACAACGGGAGCCCCAACATTCCGTCCCTGGAGACGCTCCAAGAGGAGCGTCCAGACCCGGGTCCAGTCAACAGAACTGAGCGGCCGCCGAAGCTGACGGACCATGGCCCTGTCAGCTCTGTGGCAGCGCTGTGTGAGCTGGAGCTCAGCCATAGCCCAGCTCCTGCAACCATTGGTCTCTCCCGGAACTTCCTGCCCCACAGGTGAGGACAGACCCTGAGCCCGAAAGCCCCGGGACGCACGGCGGGGACATTCACAGCCCTTGCTCCCCTGCCCCTTCCTCTCCTCCTCCTCAATCCTCTGAGCGCCCGACACCCCCGACTGGCATGTGACCTCCAGTGTTTACTCTTTCTCGCAGGATCAGCCAACCTCGGCCAACAGCCTGGCCAGAAGCAGCAGCCCTTGCCAGCTCCCTCTGCCCCACCAGCAGGTATGGCAGTCCCATCTGCCTTGGCCCCTCGGCATTCCCTGCCCCCCAGCCCCTCTAGCCTCCAGGCCTGCCCTGGCTCCTCCAGCCCTGCCGGCACCTCCAGCAGCCACAGCACCCCTGTCCCCGTGCCAACTGGGGCCCCTTGGCTCAGCATGGCACGCGAGCACACCTGGCATTGCCTGGGCCACCTCTGTTCAGGCAAGATCGTTTAGAGGATCTTGGGGCCGTCGCTGCCATTTTGTCATCCCCTGTGCAACCCCATGGCTGTGGCACAGCAGCTCACCCCGCAGGGATGGTCCCTCACTCAAGCTCCCACTCAGTCTGTGTTCCGGGCCGGCTCAGCGGGTGCCCCAGGAGACTCTCCCAGCCCCTAGCCCCCCCATCTCCCAGTCCCTTCTCCCCTGTGCGCATGTGCCAATGGCTCCGGGCAGTGACTGCTCCAACCCCCACCCGTATCTTCTGCTCGACAGGGACACGGACTCAGCTGCCTCCACCAGCCCCCTTGGCAAGCAGCCATGGCATTGCTCCTCCATCAGGCAATGCCCTGGGGGGGGCCCGGGGCTGCAGGAAGCCCCTGGTCCCAGTCCCACCAGTGCGGGACACGCAGCACGGCTCAGCCAACCCCTCAGGGACGCCCCTGGGCAGTGGCAGCCCTCCAGACACCAGCGTCCCCATGGATTTGGACACCACCCCAGGTCTTGACATCAGTTTGGGCAGTGATGTCCCCATGGATGACGACAGCCCGTCAGGCCGGGACCTCTCGCTGGCCAGCGATGTCACCATGGACGAGGACAGCCCGTCAGGCCGTGACCTCTCCTTGGCCAGCGACGTCAGCATGGACGAGGACAGCCCGTCAGGCCGGGACCTCTCGCTGGCCACTGATGACCCCATGGATGGTGGCTCTCCCCCAGGCAGTGATCACGTTGCGAGCTGTGACATCTCGCTGAACAGCGATGTCCCCATGGAGGAGGACACCTTCCCGAGGGCTGCCATCTCCCTGCCCAGTCACACCACTGCCAGCCACCCAGGCCCACTCCACGGCCAAACCATCGGGGCCCCTGGGCTGACTCCAGGCAGCGAGACTGTGCTGCGTCGCAAGGTCCCGCTGAAAGGGACTCGGAGCCACTTGGATTGCTCCCAGGGAGCCGTGGGCACCAGCCGGGATGGTCACAGCAGCATCCCCATGCCCACGGACCATGCTGGCACCAGTGGCACCAGCCCCCAGCCCAAGAACACCTCGCTCTGCCCGCCCAAGAAGATGCCGCCGACTGTCTGCAGTGTCCCCAAGCCTTCCAGAGCCGTCCTGAGCACGGGACACTGCAACGCGGGCGGCACCAAGCCTCAGGACCCTCAGCAGGGTGCGGGCACGGGCCTGCCACCGCCTCAGAGCAGCGTGTCACCACGCAACATCGCTCTGGAAAGGCGGGGCACGAAGAGGAAGAGGGGCTCTGAGCCAAGCACTGGGAGCAGGTGCAAGGCTCCCGCAGCCCGGGCTGGGGCAGAAAGTTGTTGAGGGACAGATCGTTTGGGGATCTGTCCCAGGGGAAGGGACAGATCGTTTGGGGATCTGTCCCAGGGGGAGGGACAGATCGTTTGGGGATCTGT